TTTCATGGTTTGGGCTTGTATTGATCATGATAGTTTGCTTTGGGATTGTATTGATTATGATAGTTTCATTATTTGGTATTGTATTGATTATGATAGTTTCATGATTTGGTATTGTATTGATTATGATAGTTTCATGGATGGGCTTGTATTGATCATGATAGTTTGTTTTGGGATTGTATTGATTATGATAGCTTCATGATTTGGGATTGTATTGATCATGATAGTTTGGTATGGTATAGTATGGTATAAAGTTTATTCATTTTAAAAAAGTACAAAACAATTCCATAACAATATAAAAAAGATACAAAGGATTTAAAATGAAAGGCAGCAGAAAGAAGAAAAAATCTTATTGTATCTGCCCCTTTTTTCAAACAATTATTTCAATCATAATAATTTTCAAGTAACAAGTTTCATGGATGTGCTTGTATTGATTCTGTACTGATGTACAGCTTAACCTCTGCAGTATACCAACAAGTTTTTCCAAAAAAAATAAATAAAAAGAATACATCCAGAGCATCTATTATAAACTTAATTTCCACAGGAAAAAAGTGATAAAGCAAAACACAAGTATAATCACTCAGGTTGTTTTTTTAAAGTTGACTAAGCATTAAGACTACAGTTTGTTGTCTTTTAATGTACACTGTCTCTTAACTCACAGAGCGTGGTGATCGATGATGCGTCTGCAGAGAGAGTGCACAAACTACTGATGATTGTCAGTCTGGTGTCCAACTTTCCGCTCTTTATTGTTGGACTGGGTGGGATCATGCTACTCATCTTCATCACCCTCCTCATCCAGGCCCATCAAAAGAAGGTATTGCCCCCCCCCCCCCCCCCTCCCTTTTCCCTGAATCTAACCCCAACAAATTACATGTTGCTTCTAATAAGTACTTTGTGTTAATTCACGTTTGTTCAATTGCTTAACCACCCACTAATGGCACTGTGCACGTGCTTATCACTCTGTATCTCTGTGCAGAAGGAAGTTAAGTGCATTGAGTTTTCCAAGGCTATGTATTCTGTAAGTCTTAATTTTTTTGTTTGTTTGGTTTTGGCTGCTTTGATTTAATTTTAATTCTCTTCAATCTGTCGTATCACTCATGGCCTAAAAACGCACTATTTTTCTACTTTTTTTTAATACACAAGAAAAGCCTTCACCTCTGCTTTTAACAGATTAACATCATTTACCAACACTTAAAAAGGACGTCTTCTCAATGCAGCGTCTTCACCTAAAATACTGTTTAAAAGTTTTAGAATTGACATCTAAATTATTATTTTTTTTACATTGCTTCAAATGAGCCATGTGTTTCTGTGATTTTTTAAAAATGTCTTGATCAGTAGTACTCCAGTATTGTATAGATATTTTACAAAGATTTTTTTTTACTTTGACTGCTTTCCAAAGATGTGTTCATGCTCAGGTCAGCTGCCACATCCAACTTTAGGTCACGGTTTGTAGAGTTTTAGACATTTTTGTGTTAATCAGTTGAAGATAAACAGTATATCATATGATTACTTTAAGAACGTATCATTAAAGTCACACACAGTGGCTCATGAGATATTTTGCTAACACAGCAGGCACACACACAGACTTGGATAAAAACACATTCACATTCAGCGGCAGGCAATAATATCGATGGATAACGTATGACTTTTGCACAGTACTGCACATACGTCTTTTAAAATTCCAAGTTTCACAAGTTTAACTTTTATTTTTTTTTTCTGTACATCTTTTCACTCCTTTTTGTTTACCTTCTACCACAGACGTCAAACGAAGACGACACCTCTTACTCTCCGGTCAGTGTCAAGGACAAAGATGATCCCAAAAACGGAAACTATATCGGCATGACGCCTAAAGCTGACCCACAAGCTTGAGGAAGAAGTCGAGGAAACGTGTGTGTGTGTGTGTGGGGGGGGGTGTTTAAGAAAAAAAGACAGAAGGCCTGTTTTAATTTGAAATGACATAAATTAGATATATTTTTGTGAAAACGTCCAGATTCAGCACACAAACAAAGCAGTTTGACATCCTCTGTACTTCTTATTGTTCATCACTTGTTGTTGAATTATTGCTGCAGTGACTTTAGATGGAGAGAGCACTTTTTCTACAAAAAAAAAAAAAAAAAGAAGAAAACACTTAAAATTTGTGTTATAAATGTCTCCGTGGTGCTGAGTCCTCCGTTTGTCTCACAGCTTCATCAGCTGAGCATCACTTGAAGGAAGCAGTACTGACGTCCATAAATGAAGTTTTTTTGTGTGTGTGTTTTTGGGTACACTCTCAGGGGGTTCAGATTAGATGCTGTCACACTTTAGCAAATGAAAGAAGTGAAGCTGCGAATCGTAATAATCAGCTCAGTATTATTATTGTCCAATGTGCCTTCTTTAACTCTAAATTCAGCGCAGCTTGAAGTTTTGCCTGCTCGTTCAGACCTGTGCACATTATTGTTACCTGAAAGATGTTGTGCTGCCTTCGTTCCTATCAGTGTGTGACAACGACAAAGGTCAAGCAAAACACTTTGTACTTGGATGATTTCATTTTTGTCAAGATAACCATTTTTTGTGCGTATACTTTAATGTAGAAACCTTTGAATGTAGAACATCGCCAGCTAGAGCTACACAGACGTCTAGTAGTTTTAAAATGAGCCATCAAAAGCCTTAATTTTAACCCGATAAATGCTTTTTATAACTAACGTTAGTATTTGGGGTAAAACCTTTTGTAATGCTGTAGTTGTGCCTTTAAAAGGAGTATTTTGTTCCTTTTATTGTTTTTTTCCCCTGTGAAACAAGTGTTACATCCAACCACTTTTAAGTGCTTTTATTTTTTAAATAGAACACGACACAATGAATTTTTTTTTATTTTTCTGTATTTCAAGGTGACTGAAAATTGTTTTCTATAATTTTTTTAATGTAATCTAAAATGAATGAAAAATGCTGCGGAATGATTCAAGTTAAACTGTGATGAGCCTCGGCTTTGATTATTGCTCCTAATAATTCAAGGGTTGAGTTATTTCACCCCAGCTTAATATTCTTAATCTAATAACCACCACAATGTATATAATAGGCATAGTAAGTATTTTTTTTCCTTATTTGATTTTACTATTTCACGTTGATTTATTAATCCAGTTATGTTCAATAATAAAACCCAGAGTTAACACAACATTATAGAGATTTGCAGTAGGTTTAAATTAACAGGAGGGGTGAATTAATAGAGAACTCCTGTTTTTAAGCACAATACACAGTATTATACAATGTTAGTTTGGTTGGACTGAAAGAGGATAAATTATTTTTTTACACTGATAAAACCAAAACACTGAGAGCACCACTTAGACTCGACACTGGGCTACTTTGTGCCAAATTTGGACTTTTCGATCGTCTTTTGTTCAATTATTGTTACTGCTACAACCTCTGATATGCATCCTGTTCTGAAATGACTGTTATTGGTGTTTTTACTCTGTACACAAAAATAAAAAGTAGTTTCGTCTGATGTGTTTTGTCCACTTTTGAATCATCGTCTCTCAGTTTGGTGAACCATAGCTTGCCAAAGAATTGGGGACACTACTAATATTATTCTGAAAATGAACACAGAAGAAAACATGCTATTAATGAAGATTGTGAGATGACATAAAACTTTATATCTTATGTGGAATCACAGGATGTCCAGCTCAGAGTATGGGTTGTGAATGATTCAACTGTCTTGATTCAGTATAGAAATGACTGAATCTTAGCCATTTTTATGTTTTCTATGGCCCATTGGCCATTTTGTCATCTACTATTTGGTTACATGATACATTTAGAATTAATGTTGAAATCTTTTAGGATTTTTCACACATATTTTTAAAGTGCCTAAGCCAGCCAAATTTAAAATCTGCAGGGGATTGCTTCTTCCAAGCTGTCAAACATTGACTGTTTTGCAGCCATCTAAAAAAGGTTCTCTTGTTTCTATGTATTGACTTCTTTAAAGTTTAGCTGAAGTTCAAATATAATAAAATGGCCTTTCAGTTACTTTTTATGTCAGTATAATTATTTTTTTCACAATCATTTAAAGTTGTATGTTTTAATTATTTCATGTTTTTATTACAGTATATTTATCTTACAATCACTGACTTTTTTTTTTTTTTTACTGGCGCTAGCTATAAAAATCAACTGTAGTTACTTGTGGGGGATGTAAAGGTCACAGAAGTTTTTCCATTTACCTAATGTTATAGAACCGCGTGTGTGCGTTAGATTTGTTTTGTCTGAACAAGGAGCCTGCAGGAGCATGGCGCCTGCACACCTGATAAACTTCAAGGCCCTAGGCTGGATAGCAGTTGTCTTGACCTCACCTTTTCTGATAAGCATGAGTTGATGCTTTGTGCTGTTCACAGGCTGTGATCCAGGCAACGTATAACGTACATCTTGTATGCCTGTTTCCAATTGCTGCTCCTCTTGCAAGCTTCATTCATTCAACCTTTATTTATACAGGTTAATCCCATTGAGCCTCGGGGACTCATTTTCAAGACACCTGGTTTTAACAAAGAATGATGACAACAGTAGACAATCATGAAAGAAGCGTACAAATTGTTTTTTTAACCAGTGAAAATAAAATGGTATTTAAAAGAAAATGTAACAAAAAAAAAAAAAACAGCTAAATGGTAAGGTGGTGTCAAAAAACAATGTCTGCATTGGTTTTCACCAGGAACTTAACACATGTTTGAAGCCACGTAGAGAAGTCAAGGTTGAGAGCTTCAGGTCTTTTTGCAAGATATTCCAGGAAACGAGCGAAGTAGAAGGTCCTTTTTCCAAGTTCAATCCTCGAGGGAACACTGCAGTTAATAATGTCCTGAGAGCTGTAGCTGCACTCACGCAGTGACATGTAATGTATGAAGGCAGCAGACCAAGAAGTGATTTAAAGTTGAAAATGTACCAGTGGGAGAGTCTGCATGAAGTTAATGATGTAAGCAGAGAATACAGGGTGCAATGGTAGTTACAGCCAGTTATGAATCTTAGTGCACCATGATAGACAGCATCCAACATCTGCAGGGTGCTTGTAGGAGCGTTCATGTAAATAATGTCACTGTAGTCAAACAGAAGGAATGTCAGTTACAATGTGTTCTAGCATTCAGTTAGACAGGATCCGTTTCTGAAAAAGAAACCCAATTTAAAAAGATTAAACCTGCTTGTAAAGTTCTTCTAGTTTTCCTTGCCTGGCATATTTATTTAATGAGTTGATGATAGGATAATTTAATTATCCAAGTTACTTTAAAGGTGTCATTTCAAAATGCTGTTAAGACGCATGTTACAGCTCAAGAAGAGCTGGATTTAATGATCAAATGACTTGGAGAGGAGTCTGATCATCAGGCCAAAAGAATCCGCTCAGTCCACGTCTTTAATCCAACTGCAGCACCGTGTGTAACAAAGACTGGAGGAATGTTGCAGGTCTCCTGAAGTAGTGGGAAATGCCATGTTAAAAAAGACAGCAGTTTTCCAAACTGAAGAGACAAGACAAAGTTAGGAGAGCTGGGCGACATTCTGCAGGAAATCCATTGTGCAAAAGATGGAGGTTACCTACCAGGCCTGTCATATCTGGACACGGCTCATGAAGTCAAGCCACTCTACGGACTACAGGAAAAATGGACAGGAGCAAAGTACAGAGGAACTTAAACACCTTTCCTCCCTTCAGCGTCTTCTCAAAGTTTGTATCATTCCTACATTGAAGTAAACCCTTTTTTACTAAATGAAAGACAAATCATTTTTATCACACAACAAATACATTTATTGGCGAACATGCCCAAGCAGTTCTGCTGCCACAGAGATATAACACAAGTTACAAACTCCTCCTTTAAACCTTTGCTTTTTTCAAATCCTCAGGTAGAACTCTGCCCTTCTTCCGCGCTCTGTTTTTCTTATTCTCCATTTTGACTTGTTTGCGTTTCTGGATGTTCTTTTTCCTCTTGTCCTGCCGTTGCTGCATCTTTTCTATGACTTTCTCGCTTCGCTGATCCCACTTCTTCTTCCTCTGCGAGCGCATCTTCTCCTTCTTCTTTAAGGAGGCGCGCAGCATGTCCTCGTTGTCTTTGATTTTGATGCCCTCCGCCTTGTAAAGCAAGTTGGTCCATTTGATTTTCTTCTCCATCTCAGAGGCCTTCTGCTCATCCTTCTCCCTCAGCTGCTCCAGCTTCGCTTTGCGAGCCTCCACCCGGTTGAGCAGCTGCTTGTAGTTCCTCCCCGTCAGCGGAGTTATGTTGCCTTTAACGCTCTGTTTCTTCTTCATCTTCGTTTGCATTTTAGTTTCATATTCTTCTTCCACCGTCTCAATACTGTTAAACAAAATAGAGCTCTTCGTTCTTTTATCTGAGGCGGGAGGACTCGGCTCTTCCTTTTTCACCTCCACTGGCTCCTCCTGGCCACTCTTTTCAGCCAGTTTCTTCATCAGAAACTCTTTCCTCTTCCTCTTCTTGCGCTCCCGCTCCAGCTTTCGCTTTGCTCGCTTTGCTAGGACGTCTTCTGATGAAGGATCTTTTGGGGTCCCCTAATAAAGGAAGCATAAATTAAAGTAAAAAAAAACAACAATTAATTAATTAAGAAAAAGGTAATTTTCCCACATGTTGAACTGTATCTGAATAGAAAACAACTCAAAAAGAGAGAAATAGGAATAAATGTTAATGCAGGCAGTTTGTATTGAACATGCCGTCTCAGATTTAGCAGCATGTCGTTTCAACTCCATCTTTAAATAAAAAAGTAAATACAATGCATTGACAATATCCTAATGCGATCATTATTTCACTTTGAGTTGGCACCAGTGTTGCCAGATTGTCGAGGTTTTCCAGCCCAAAAATCTGTTAACAAACGCCACATCACACAAAAACCCATCCAATCAATATATTGTTATATTTACTGTTTGAACACGAGCGCACATCAGTACAAAACAAGGTCATTTAACACTATGTGGGAAAACACAACAATCTAACAAAATCTGCCCAGAGTTGTTTTCCATTAACAACTCTGAGCAACGTCAGATCCAGTGAGTGTCACGTGACGCATCACATACCAACATGTTTCCAGATGGATTCATAACCACGCAGACTGCTCCTCTTTTCACATTTAGAAGACACAAACTACGATCAGTGCACACACACAAATATGCTAAGCTTATTTCTACACAACTGAAAGAATTAAATTTACTATGGTTGATTTTGAATTCTTACCTTTAATGCTGATTAGATTGTTGGCTGGAACTGAAAAATTTGCAGTGAGCCTTTATAATAATAATAATAATAATAATAATGTCATCACATTGTCAGCACTGTATGTTTCCATACAATGGCGAAATTAGTCTCTGCATTTAACCCATCCACCACCAGGTGGTGCAGTGGGCAGCTATTGAAAGCGCACGTGGGGCATTTTGGGGATGAGACGTGCTGCCCAGAGACGCCACGTGATGTGCAGTGACTGGGGATCGAACCTGGGACTTTCGGGTCCCAAGCCGGCTGCCCTGCCTCTACACCATCTATGGATGACACTTTCCCCGATTTAAGATCATTGTCACTTTTCCATTCATTTCTGTAACTTTTCTTAGATTTTCCCCACTTCAGCATCTTCCTGCTACGTTTTTTTTTATCACACCAGATCCACCTGCTGCTAAACCAGCTTAATTTATGCTGCAGCCCTCTGTTGTCAACACCCTGGCAGGTGACAATAGCCATATAGTGATTGAGAGAGAGAGGGGAAGCTCTACTGTCATTATTTTTTCACTTCCTGCTCCTCCTTCCTTCCAGCCAGGTTAGCTTCAGAGCAGGAGAGCTTTGCTAAGAACCAATAATGATGAATGGTTGGTTAAAATGTGTTTTAATAGATTAACTCAATAACCACCGATCTGGCTCCAAATCCGCATAATAATCCCCACCTTCCCAAAGCAATTTTACCCGCAAAATCAGAATGGAAACTGCTGAAATGGTGGTAAACCGCCTTATCTGGCAACACTGCCAGCTGCTCAAACCTTCTTCTTCTTCTTCTTTTGGCTTTTCCCTCTTCAGGGGGTCACCACAGCGAGTCATCCTCCTCCATCTCACTCTGTCCTCACTCCAACTACCTCCATGTCCTCTCTAACTGCATCCATATATCTCCTCTTTGTCTTTTTCCTGGCAGCTGCATTTCTAACATCCTTCTACTAACTTGCATCATTTTTAACGGTCCACTATCAAAGTTAAAAGTAGGTCATGTTTTTGCTCGTATCTGTGTTTATCAAGTCAGCAAAACATGTCATGAACTTGTGGACATGTTCTATTAAAAATCTAACAATTGACGGAGGCCCATCTACAACGCGTGAAATGTTTGGAATAAACTTATTTTGAGATGTCCGCCACAGACCATTGACCTTAGCAAACACAAAACTATATCTAAGTTAGACAGTTTCACAGATATTGAGCTAAAGTTTCATATGTTGGAGCTGAGAGTCATTAACTACACGTCTCGTAATATCACGAGCTTGTGCATAACCTACTTCAAGGTTTGATAAAAAGGCTTTAACGCCACCTCTTCTCATCATATGGGCGATATGCGTTCCTTCAAGGAATGTTGGGCCTTTAATTAAAAAAAAGTGCTGTTTTTTTTTAATTGATTCACATTAAAAGTTACTAAACGTTTGATTATTTTTAAAATAATTTTCTATAAATAATGCATTGGGTGATTTAAAAAATTGCTGCATTCATATTTTTATATACTTCGCTTAAGATGAGTTCTAACATTATGTTCCACAAAAAAAACATGTCTTGAATTTTATATTACGTTCTCTCGTTCACAGAAACAACCGGTGGTAGGAAAATGCTAGCGCTGCAACGTAACTTTGGAAGTGAAAGCAAAACATGTCCTCCTTAAATTCAATCTAAGAAGAGCTTTAACGTCATTTTGTGCTTCATATTTAAATGTGCGTACCTGCCCTCTGGACTCCTCAATCTTTTCATGTAGCCTTTTACGCAGCACATCTACTGCAGAGAAGCTTCGGTCAACATTCCCTCCTTTAAGACAAAACATTTAAAAAAATAGACAAAGTCATGGAAAGAACTTCTGACATTTGATCACTAACTTGAATCCATAGAAATCAGGTTTGGTACCTTTAGTTGACTGTGCTGTTGTTGGATTTGCTGCAGCAGGACTTTTCTGAGCTGCTGCAGGAGGAGGTGGTCTGTGTTGGGGTTTGAGAGTCTTATCAGTGCACTTCTCTTTAAAATTCTTCTTTTTTAATTTTTTCTTCTTCTTTGAAGGATCAGCATCACTTTTACCCTTAAAATGAACTAAAAAAAAACACACACAACATAATTAGGCATGCACCACAACTGAGCAGCTAACGTGTAAATAAAAGTACACTGTGGCGGTTTTAACTGAGTGTCAGATCATTATGATTTATAAAATAATTAATGTGTTGGGATTTTTTTTTTGTACACATGCCTCTGTCCAAAAACCTGGAGAATATTACTGTAAATTCCAGTGACACAGAGAAGCACAGAGTCCTTAATCTGGAGCTGTTTTAACATTAAAAAGGTCACTCGCTCAGGGATGAAGGTGTTCACATCCTTGATAGAGAGGAACGATGGTTTGACAGAGGAGTAAAGGAGGCCATCTGTGAAGAGAACTTGTCCATCATTAAAAAGGGACAGGGGTCTCCGTGTCCAACTGTCACCCTTACAGTGCTGTTAGTATCACTCAGCTCTCTGTGAATAGCAAGCGGCCATCAGGGTGCTAACAATCCATCGTTAGGCTGATGGTCCTCCTTTTGCATGTGAACGACTAGTTTTGTCTGTCAGCAGCAAACTGTCTCACCCACTTTGAGAGGGTGCCACTTATAAAACTGTTGGTCGTAGCTCCTCAGACTGACGAAGAACATCCATCCATCCCGCTTCTTCCTTTCCGAAGTCTTTCGGATAAAAGACGGAACGTTTCAACGAGAAGCATCTGTCCAGAAGGCCTCACTCAACCTTGTTAGATTCATCTACCTGAATTAATGAGCATGCATCAGGACAGCGTTTCCCATCTCCACTTCAACTTTATTTTTCTAGTATAAAGCAAAAATACATTTTAAAAATAGTTTGCTGACTCCACTATCCCACCCCAAGTTCCAAAGAACTGTATCATCCTATTTTGATAACTAGTGTTCTCTTTAAATAGTTTCACATAGGTTTGTGTGTTTAAGGTCACATTGATCAACTTGCCTTTCCTCAATGTTGATATAGTTTTAATATTGAAGGTACTGTTGGGTCTAAATTATAGATGTTTAAGTGGATACGCTTGATTTATGTTTTACTTTGATATTATACATTTAAAGATTTGTTAAAAAAAGAACGTCTGCCTCTGCCAAGGTGCCTTTAGATGTTTTGTAATAACTAAAACAGCATTTATCACACAGCAAGCCTAATTACTGGTTATTTCAACCATTGCCACTCTTTTTGTAGAGTAAACTCAAACAGACAAGAGTGAAATAATATAATATATTATATATTATAACGCCTTAACCATCACGCTTACAATTCAGCCTGTGGTGAATTGCGGTACTGCATCAGAGGTCTGACTTTTTAAAGTTTAGGAGCTTTTACAAACCACTCACAGCCAAGTCATGCTAATACAGTGAGCACATTCGGAGTTTTACACACAAAATCACCCAAGAAAAGGTAAATAAGCCGATATTGTTAGTTAACATTACCAAAAGGTCTCTTCGGTGGCTCTTTCTCGCGCTGGGAAAACAATTTACTCGCCAGTTTCTGAATGTACACGTCTTTTGCAGCGAGGTCCATCATATTTTTTAAATAAACAGAGTTTCTAACTCTAAAACAGCAGCACAAACGAGAACCTTTAAGGCTTAAATAATGTCAACATTTCTCGTCCGCATGTGGGGAAACACGAGGACTTCCGCAGTTGCACCAGGAAGGAGTAACATTAAAAACGTTCCCCCTGTGAGCGGAAACAGCAGTTATGTAGTTGTTTTGTGTTGCCTCTTTTAGCTCCGTCTTACATGAGTGGATTCATGGCTTCTTTAAAATACGTGTTGATCTATTCCAGCAGAATTCTTCCGACATTTAGGAAACAGGTAAGTTGTTTATAATCTTTGACATTTTTTTTAAAGAAGTTTGTTTACAGGTAAGTTTTTCGCTTTATTTTATTTCAGTGTCATGTCATTGACGTGAAGAGGACCTTCTTCCTGCCCAGACTCCATAAACGTTCAAACGGTACTTTTTAAATTACTTTTACTTACTTTAATTTTCAATATTAAACAATTATTTTAACATGTGAACAGATACGCAAAGAAAATATTTTGCTAAATGACTGTAAACATTAACTGTGGCTAGCTTTTGTTAAAAACATTGGACTGTGCTGAAGTGCTTAATGTTCAAACAAATTGATTGAAAGAACAAAAAGTTTTTTTAAATAAATAATTTAAAAAATATATATTAAAGTTGGATAATTAAGGTCCTGTTTTTCCATTGAACAATAAAAATGGCAAAATGTCCACATATGTTTTAGAGATTAAACTTTTAGTGCAATTTCTTTGATGAATGTTCAAAATGTAGTTTTTTTTCAGTAGTAAAATTGATATTAACTTTTTTTTTATTTAAAAACTTTTACCCATGCTATATATTTGTCATGATCTTTACATTAGCTCTGAATCAGATGGGTTGATTTATGAAAAATGTCTATGTGAAAGCACAACATAAACCTGTTGAGTTGTTGGAAAAGTATTTTTGCATCTTCAAGAAAACCAAGCAGCAAAATTGTCATGGCTCTTTCTCAAGTAGGAAGTAAACAGCAAGATAACAAAATACATTTTGGGTACTTTTCTGTTTTATGTTCAGAGCAGATTCCTTTTATTCCAGCCAATAAAATTTATTTGATTGATTGATAAATGTATTTGTAATGAATGGCCCTGCTATTTAGAAAAAAAAAAAGTTGCAGTTGAGCCAACAGAGACTAACACTCCTAGTAAAAGTGAGAATTGAAATTTCAGGTTTTGTAGCAAAAAGTTAATATTTGTTTAGAGATGTTTGGTTTACATAATCATAGCACCTCACAATCAAATGTAGATAAATCCTATACTTGTACGTAACAGTCAAGTGTTATTCTTTTTTTTTTTTCATTGTTGTGCTTGAATCCACCTTGAATTTGAACATTTTCAGGCAGGTTTATTAACTCCCAGCGACTGAGCAGCAACTCTGCAGCAGCCAAAGCAGAGAAAACAGAAGACTCTTTCCTCAAATGGTTCCTGCTGCTCATCCCTGTCACCACCTTTAGCCTCGGGACATGGCAGGTACAGCTCAAGCTAGTTTCTCGTTACTTTTGTATTTCCTGTGTTGAGTTAAACAATCATATTTCTTGAAGGTGAAAAGGCGTCAGTGGAAGATCGGATTAATTAATGAGCTGCAGAAACTGATCACAGCAGAGCCCATTCCTCTTCCTCTTGAGTAAGTAAAAAGTGGAGTCACATAAAAGTCTCTTTGTATGAACAGCATTGAAATTGACTGTTCAAGCCAGGATACTAGATGCAGTTATAGTAATAGGTCAAATATGACACATGTAGGTTCACATGAACAACTTTGAAATGTGATTTTTTTTTTTTTTTACAAAACAAAAAGATTGACTTATTTATTTATACGAAGACAGATAATGTCTCTTACCACTTGCCCCTCAAAAATACTACAATGTTACCACTCTCTTTACACATTCTCTATTCCACATAGAGTGAAGTATTTCAATCCTTTATTGTAGTTTTGATGCTTATGGCTTACAGATAATGGAAAACCCAAAATTGAGTTTCTTAGGAAATTAGAATATTGTGAACAGGTTCAATATTGTAAACTCCTGGTGTCACACCCTAATCAGCTGATTAACTCCTAGACATGAGCTACAAATGTTTCCTCAAGTCAATCCACTCCTGAACCAGAGACAATGTCAGAAGTGTCCTACCTGGACTGAGGAGAACAAGAACTGGACTGTTGCTCAGATAAACGTTTTTCATGTCATTTGGAAATCGAGGTCCCACAGTCTGGAGGAAGAGTGAAGAGGTCCAGAATCCATGTTGCTGAAGTTTCAACAGTCTGTGATGATTTGGGGTGCCATGCCATTGCTGGTGTTGGTCCACTGTGTTTTCTTAAGACCACAGTCAACGCAGCATCTACCAGGACATTTTAGAGCACTCCATGTCTCCTTCTGCTGAGGAGCTTTATGGAGATGCTGGTTTAATTTTCCAGCAGGACTCGTCTCTGCCCACACTGACAAAGGCACCAAAAGCTGGCTGTGGAATATACAAATTTTCTGAGACACTGAATTTTGTTTTTCATTATCTGTAAGCCAACTCTAAATTGTCTCTTGGTGTGAGTGAGAGAGTGAATGGTTGTTTGTCTTGTTTGTCTCTATGTGTCCCTGTGATGGACTGGAGACCTGTCCAGGGTGTACCCCATCTCTCGCACAGTGATGGCTGGACATGGGCACCAGTGACCCCTGCGACCCCAAAAGGAAGAAGCGGGTAAAGATAATGGATGGAAGGATTATCTGTAAGCCATGATCATCAAATTTACAAAAACTAAAGCCTTGAAATATTTCACTGTGTGTAACAAATCTATAAAATATATGAGTTTCACTTCCTGAAATTGGGGACAATTTTTTTTTTTACTTTTTCAAGATACTCTAATTTGTTTAGATGCACCTGAATGCCATACAAAATACAGAGTCACACAGTTCATTCAAATGAGAGAAAAGAAGAAAACACGTTTGAAACAGCATGATTTAAAAATTCAATTTTGTCCAATTATTTTTAAATGGGATAGAAATACAAAACACTTGGATCAACTTCAAAACTTGCTAAGCCGATATTTAAATAATAATGAAATATCTCACACCTGATTATAAAACTGCTTTGGGTTCAATTATTTGAAAGAGAATAATATTTTATACCTTAGCATCTGCACTTTAGGCTCATAATCTACTGTATGTTAAAATACAAGAAGTGGTCTGGATACATGGATGTGTCACTTTTCTCTTTGCACACTAGTCCTCTAGAGATAAATGAGCTGGAGTATAGAAGGGTGAAAGTGCGTGGACACTACGACCACTCAAAGGAGCTGTACATCATGCCCCGCTCACCCGTCGACCCGAAGAAAGAAGCCAGAGAGGCGGGAAGTCTTTCCTCGAGCGGCGAGATCGGCGCTAACGTCATCACCCCGTTCCACTGCTCTGATCTGGGGTAAATAAAAACACCAAGTCACAGCTGTAACAGCACGGCTACAGTAAACCAACCTGCTGCTTGTTTCTGCAGCATCACGATCCTGGTGAACAGAGGATATGTCCCAAAGCAGAAAATAAGACCAGAAACCAGGCTGAAGGGGCAGGTTGGTGTTTCAGGATGAGACGCATCAGACCATGAAGACCATTCACCATGACACACAGTCAAACTAAGAATTTTGAAGTGTACAGAAAAATAATGTACAGAAACATTACAATGTACCAGGAAGATCAATAAATATTATACGGATTAGAATATGTCCAGATGAGCTGCAGTAAATCTTTTTTTTTTTTTGTCCTTGTTTGTAACCTCGTGTACTGTTTACATCCAGGTGGAGGGCGAGGTGGATGTGGTGGGAGTCGTCAGGCTGACAGAGACACGGAAACCGTTTATACCAAACAACGACGTAGAAAAAAACCGCTGGCATTACCGCGACCTGGAGGCCATGAGCCACGTCACCGGAGCTGCACCCATCTTGATCGATGCAGACTTTGGTAAAGTCTCATAGTGTGAATAAACTTGGCGCTGGATTTTACGAAGCATCAAATGGGCATAAAATGATGTGGAATATCTTCTATTGTTCAGGGAGCACAATTCCTGGAGGACCAGTTGGTGGACAGACCAGAGTTACACTGAGAAATGAACACATGCAGTACATAATAACATGGTATTTACAGTTTGTTGTTTAGTTCTATATATATATATATATTTGTTATCGTGACAGATTTATTATGAATTCCTTTTCTTTCTGTTTGTAGGTATGGTTTGTGTGCAGCTACTTCCTACTTGTGGTATGGCAAGTTCATCAAGAAGATTAAACTATAAAGCAGATGGTTACACGTCTAAATGCTGATTGTATCAAAGAGCTTGTATGTGTTGTGCATCATTTATTCACAAATTAATCCATAAAACTTTGTCATTTCTTGTTCGTAAGCATAAATAAAACATGGCCTAATACTGAACTCATCTGTTGTAAATGCTGTTTTACTGTCTGTTAGTAAGTCCTGTACTTGTTTCTCATTATCCATTTGAACACTTTAAGCTGTGAACTCATTTGGCGAAATCGACACCAGGAAATCAATCAACCTTTATTTATACAGGTAAATCCCATTGAGCCTCGAGGACTCATTTACAAGAGAGACCTGATTTCAACAAAGAAAGATGACAACAACGGACAACAGCAACAACAATAAGCAGTTATAAAAACTCATACTACAGTTTTTTTTTTTTTTTTTTTAACAAATAGGACGGCTAAAAGGAAAAAGGTAACAAAACAAAAAACAGCTAGATTCAAAGACAAATGTAGAAAACTAAAAACAGGAACATGTCTGCATTGGACCCTGCCAGGAGTCCAACAGATTCTTAAAGACACTTAGAGAGGTCATGGTCGAGAGCTTCAAATCTTTTTCTAAGATATTCCAGGAAACAGGAGCGGAGTAGGAGAAGGCCCTTTTGCCAAGTTCAGTCCTCACTGAGGGAACACTGCAGATAATAATGTCCTGAGAGCGCACTCCGTAGCTGCACTCACGCAGAGACATGTAGGAGGAGATGTATGAAGGCAGCAGACCAAGAAGTGATTTAAAGATGAAAATGTACCAGTGAGAGAGTCTGCGTGAAGTTAATGATGTCCAGTTAACCAGTGAATACAGGGTGCAGTGGTGGGTACGATAATCACAGCCAGTTATGAATCTTAGTGCACCATGATAGACAGCATCCAACATCTGCAGGGTTCTTGTAGGAGCGTTCATGTATATAATATCACCAAAATCAATTGAGGGAAGGAAAGTCATAGATACAAGGCGTTTTCTAGCATTCAGGGTTAGACAGGATCTGTTTCTGAAAAAGAAACCCAGTTTAACTTTCAGTTTCTTTACCAAGTTTTCCACATGGGGCTTAAAAGAGAGATGTGAGTCGACCAAGATACCCAAATATTTATAGGAATCAACAAACTCAATGGGGACACCATTTGAGGATAAAATCGGAGGAAGAACTGCTGGGACCAACTTCCTATTTGAAAAAAGCATCCCTTTGGTTTTTTCGGCATTTAGGACAAGTTTGAGGCGGAACAAATCAGTCTGGATGTAGTTAAATGCAGATTTCAAAAGCTGGAAAGCCTTAGCAACTGTTTTAGCTCGACAATAAACAACTGTGTCGTCAGCATAGAAATGTATGGATGCATTAGGGATGTTTTTGCCTACATTATGTATGTAGATTGTAAAGAGGGTGGGTCCTAAGACTGAGCCTTGTTGAACCATTGTTGAATGTTAAATAATAAAATGTTTCTTGTTCGAATCTCCAGAGCTTCATCTAACGCTTGTTTTAACGTCACCAGATTCAGAAACGAAGGTATTCAAGCAACGCTCAGTTCTATAGGGCGGCTGTGGCTGAGTGGTTAGGGCAGATGTCCTCAAGAGTTGGGGGTTTGATTCCACCAGTAGTCACATGTCAGTGTCCCTGGGCAAGACACTGAACCTCTCATTGTCTCTGACGTGCGTCCCATCGATATAAAGCTCTGATTATAGTTTATTCTCTTTAGAATGATTTGTTCACTTAGCTTTTTATAGAGTGCTGGTAATGAGGGCACAGATTGTAAAGAGCTTTGAGTGTCTTGATGAGATAAAGGTGTTACAATAGTCCATGTACCATTTTAGGTCTTAGGACTGTTCAACTAGGTCAGACTTTTTGTCCATATTTTCTATTTTAGGACTTGTAAAATTTTTGAATTCATTCATTGTTACCTTTTTTCAGTGTTCTGTTATTCATCCATAGTTTGAGGATTTATTTTGCGCTGTAACAAAATCAACTCTTGGTGCTTCAGTTGGATTTCAACTTTCACAAAACAAAAGCTCTGATGCTGAAATTGTTCTGAACTAAATAAAAACTCAAGGCAAATTAAAAAAATTCTGCAATTCACGCAGGTCCTCGACATTCATTAAAAAGGTTTTGAATTCAACTTAATGAAGTTTATCTCAAATTAATATCCATCAACATACTGTCCAATGACTACCTTCTGTCCGTTCACACTCATTGAAGTTGTAGAGCAACTGGTTTGGTGTTAACTGTACATTTCTGCCTAGCACAAATGTTTCACCATAATTAAACTATTCCCAGCATTTCATGAAAATTTATTTTTCCAGGGAAAATCTTAAAATTCCACATATTTTAATCTAAATGCTGAGAATTTGGCGTCTTAGGTAAAGGGCAAAAGAAATGTATGCGCTTAATGCAATCACTCAATAACTTCAAGAAACAATAAGCACCATAAGTATTCATGTACTCTACAATGTATTGATATGAGAATACTAGCAAAACACAAAGTACATCAAAATATCAGAGCTCTTGGTCACATTAGTGTTTAATTTTTTCCAAATTTTGTTTTTCTTGAAAGGTTTTCCAGGAGTTGCTGGGAACCCTGTGAAACGGAAACCACCCGTCCACCAACTAATACAACTTTATAAAAATAAGTGTCATGTTCATACTATGACTGCATGGTATGAAAAATCAACCCGTACTGTTTGAATAATAAAAGCCAAAGTCTGTAATTAGGACATACATTTTTTATTCCAAACATTTTAACCAAGCTTGGTAGCCAGCTCCTTGGCCTTTGCCTTCTCCAGCTTAGTGAAACGAGCTGTGGATTTAGGACCCAGGATGCCGCCTCCCCAATGACGACGAATCTGTAAAAGAAAGTTTATAGGATTAAAACAAGTAAAACTTTGTTTTGAGAAACCTGTTTGAAAAATGTGAGGAGCACAGCAACACTGACCTCTTCAAATCTGTCATTGTAGTTGGTCTTGATGGCTTCCACGAGCTTCGCAAGTGCACCTTTGTCCTCACTAGAAACAAAAACAAGACCAGTTCATACTGAAACAACTTCCTCTGAGGAGGAAACTACATGAAAAAGGTTATACAATCTGAATCAATATTTTAAAGCTACTTCAACAAGGCACAAAGTAAAACTTGTTTTGTCACTGTTTGGTCACTTACGGGTTAATCTGTGTGAAAGCAACCGAGGTGCACGTCTTCCTGTGCACCAGTCTGCCCAGTCTAGCTTTGCCCTTCACAATACAGTATGGGACACCCATCTTACGGCACAGAGCAGGCAGGAATACAACAAGCTGAAAAAGCAGAAGTTGGTTAAAAACTATGAATTTTGCCGACAGAAGAGTCAAATCTAATCACTGTGTAAAAGAAACTTTAATCTGTGGTCTCTGCTCAGGGTTAAAAAGCTCGTGTTTTAATCCACACAGAGGATTCAGGTGAAGAAATTCAAACATCATTGCCAGTGACCACTTTCATTAAACAAACAAAAAAAACCATCAGGAGTTCACATAATCAAAGTACAGAACTAATCTCACCTCAATCGGATCCACATCGTGGGCAATGATGACCAGCTGGGCCTTCTTGCTCTCCACCAGAGAGGTAACGGTGTTCACACCTGGAGCACCGAGACACAATTAACCACCAGTCTGAACACTGGTCAGAAAAACCTTCATATTGGGGCCAACGCTCAGGGTTAAAAAGCTCAAAAAGCATCAACAAGTTTCAGGTGAAGAAATTCAAGTCATCACTGCATTTTGGCCAAGTTGAAGAAGAGAGCTTTATGAGTTTACAGCAACTCATCTTAGGTACGTCTCACCTGCACGAAGGACGGGAGGCCTTTTGGTGGGGGTGTCTCCCTTCCCAGCTGCCTTCTGTTCAGCGCGAGCCAGCAGCCTCTTCTTCTTCTCCTGCTTGGTCTCTGGTCTGTACTTGTGGGCCAGCTTGAACAGCTGCGTGGCTGAGGAGGAACACAGAACATTTTAAATAAAGCTCCAACACTGAAGCAACAAAAATGTCGAGTATTTCAAATCTGTGCATCAGCGATCTTGGTGGAAATTGTCATCTTAACTAATCAGACGGAAAGCATTTCACATCATCTGCAAAGCGGGGATAGTAAAGACTCCCATGCTCAACACTGGCTAATCAAATCAGACTTCGGACAAGCTCACCAGTCTGACGGTCCAGAGCCTGGGTGAACTGGTTGATCGCAGGGGGAACCTTCAGACGCTTGTAGAGGATGGAGCGTTGCCTCTGCAGGCGAACATAACGAGGCCATTTCACAAAGCGCGTCAAATCACGCTTGGGCTGAATATCCTGGCCTGTGGGAAATGGAAACGTTTCACATCTGATACTTTAAAACACCTGCATTTTTTTTTTACTTCACTAAGTGCATCAGCGATCTTGGTGGAAGATTGTCTTCAGTGGTCTTAAGATAGCAAATATTCGTTTACATCACCTGCACCAACACAAACCCGTTGTTTGTTCTAAAAAGCAGCTACTCACCGATGCTGTAGTTCTTTGGCCTCTTCTCAAACAAGGGGTTGACGACTTTCTTGGCCTCATGTTTTTTGGCCACAGAAGGGGCAGGTGCCACCTTCTTCCCCTTAGCCTTCTTTCCCTTAGGCTGTAAAATAATAATGTTACAATAAACATTTACAAAGTTTAGAACCCAACTTAATAGGGCAATCTTATTGAAATAAGCATTTATTGCACTGATATAAGTTAAGCCACTTTGAGAAGTCTTATTTTTGAAATATACAATAATTGTTGCTTATTTTTAAGCCGAAGCAGACCACTAAAAATAAATAGTAATACTGTAAAGCTAAAACGCATGCAGCTAATGAGCTAAATAAATGCTAATCCTGCTGCAGTGACACCAAAATTAAAAACAGTAAGAAAAGCCAATACAATGAATAAATGCAGGTAAAACAAATGTGATTATAATTCAAATGTGCAAAATGAAATGCTAGCGAGCGGATGCTAAGGCCTCTTACACATTTTAAGGCTAACAAACACTCTCGTCCTACACGAAATTAGTCTTACAGTGCTTCATCTTGGTCAATTAAATTTTACAAACAGAACCAGACAAAACAGAAGGACATTTTGGAGATTATCCTGACTTTAACGTGGTTCTGAGTTAGCTTTAGCCTCCAGCAGGCAGGAACAGCGTTGATCGTACCGGCAACACTTCAGTCACTTTAACCTAATTTTACTCACAAATGAAACTATATAATCCACTAATATCAACACATAATCCACGGGAGGACTTTAAGCACTTGATTATTATCCTCCATAATGTAAAAAAGAATACTACTAACAAGGATGCAGACCGATAAAACAGCTTAAATATTTTCTCAAAAGAGTCAGCTATGTACCCACCATGTCGGTTCAGGCAGAAAGGAAGAGCGGAGGATTGTGGGTAATGTAAATAACGCGAGAGTTCCGCCTTCGTAGTTCGCTGATCCCGGATCAGATGTCTACGCTTCTCTGAAGATAATCACGAGTATTTGAGTTCATTTGAAACAGACTCAGGATCTGATAGTTTTAAGACGTGTTGAACGTCATTTAAAATTATGTTTTGACTCGATCAGATATTATTTTTAATATAGGATGTAATAGTTCTGTATTTTAAATGTAACACAGTTTATTTATGGGTATTTTGAGAGTATTTTATGCACAATTTTTTTTTTTTTTTTTATTGCGAGTATATGACTTGTTTGGAGCAGGTAAACCCATGAATGAGATCATGGGCTTATTTTTTTATATATCTAAATATGGAATTGCTAGATGTTATAAAACACGACAAAAGTTGTTGTAATTTAATTTAATTAATGATATATTCCAGTTTTAATCGTTGCCTTAGCCCATACATAGATGTATAAAACGACAACCTTTATTTAAACATGTTAATCCCATTGAGTCTCGAGGACTCATTTACAAGAGACCTGAATAATAAATAATATATAATGAATAGATAACAGATAATGAATACTTTAAAAAATATATTAGCATAGACAGTCAAATACAGTCAAAATCCTATTTTATTTATAAAGCTCTTTAAAACTTCTCAAAGGAACAAAGTGACATACTGATCAATACAATAAAACAAATGTTACTGACACAATAAACCTATATTGCCTTCATATGTGGTCCAGAAACGTTTTCTTTAAGAGGTCAACGTCTTTTACCGCTTGTCGTCGCTTCTTACCGAGTCACACACCGGCAGACTAAAATGGAACAGATCCAATTATGGCTACGTCACTTCCGTAAACATATTGCGATTTTTTTTCGCCGTGCTCCTCCTCCATCTCGCGAGGCGTGCGTCTTGCGGTTCTTTACGTGCTTCGCCGCTTCTGGTCGCGGGTGGGGGGGTCTGTTTGAGGATGGTGTTTCGGATGTTTTACGTCGCTCGGCTCTTCCCACAAATTTAGCTTATTTACGCTAACACGAGCTGTAGCCATCATGGTTTAGGCAGCCGCTTCTCGTCTTCTTCTTCTGTGGTAAATAATGAGTTTTAACAGCTGTCATCGCTGTAGACTGGGGGTTTTTCCTCTCCTTTCATAGGTAAACACTGGGCCTGTCACTTTCTCTGCTGAGATGTCAGCCTCTGTACACACACTTGGGCTCACTTGTGAAAAGGCAGTGTGTGTTTGAGCTTTGCAGGCTGGTATGACGAAGCTACTTGCAGCCACAGCAGTCCCTCTCATGCACTAGGACACTGTGTTTTCTCATACAGCCTTCATTGTGAGAAGCTATGGCCGAGCAGGACGTTTGTCCTCACCTGGACTCAATAGGTGAGGTGACCAAGGAGGACCTGCTCCAAAAATCCCAGGTGGGTTTTATTCATTTCTAGTAAGAAAAAACAGTTTATGCCTCAGGTGTGTGTTATCTGTACTGTTGTGTGGGAGTCTAAATGTATAATTTTCCAATCTATACTTCAGGGGACCTGCCAGTCTTGTGGAGCCGGGGGCCCCAACTTGTGGGCTTGTCTTCAGGTAGGATTTGAAACTTAATTGCAGCTGCACTCTGACATGCTAACTAAAAGCGTTAATTGATTTTATGTGTTTTTATATTTATATATATATATAAAATCAGATTCTTTCTTACACTGTGTTTCTGTTGTTTAGAGTGACTGTCCATACGTTGGTTGCGGGGAGTCCTTCTGTGATCACAGCACCCAGCACGCACAGGTAAACCTTTTCTGCCTTTTACTTCTCCGGCTACCAGAAAACACAATCGATTCAAAGTGAGTTGCTTGCGTGCTCCCTGCAGGTGAAGAAGCACAACCTGACAGTGAACCTGACCACCTTCAGGATCTGGTGTTACGTGTGTGAACGGGAGGTCTTTTTGGATCAGAAGCCGGCCCTAGTTCCGGTGCCGACTGCCCCCCACCACTGCAAAGCTGCAGAGCAGGTGGGTTTTCAGATCAAATGACTTTATTTTCTGTCTCTGCTTGCTTCATACATAAAAAAAGGAGAATTTATATTATGTGTTGAAAAGCCTGTCGCGATAAACAATAAATCAATTAATCGCACGATAAATGAAAATGATCGACCTCATTTTCATTTATCGGCTTTATTGTTTCTTCGTGTCTCTCTCTTTCTACTGAAGACACTGGACGATAAAAGGCTCCACTCCGGTGCTCTTCACTGACCCCTCACTTTCTCTTTAAAATCCATTTTAACCATCCAAAATCATGTTTTTGGATGGTTAAAAGCAGCTAAGCTGAGAAGCTAAGCTACGAGCTAAGCTAACAGGCCGACCTTGGGGAAAAAACCTCCGTCTTGTCGAAGCTCCAAAATTCTTGGTTGAAACACGTGCATTCTTGTAAAAAGTTGTTTTTTTCTGCAAAAAGAATCTGAGAACTTGTGTAATGATTTTTTTAATTAAAAAGCTTTGTGTGACAAATGCTATGCTAAAGAGCTCACACCGCACGTCCGCCATTTTGAGAACCGAAAACAGGAAGGAGAGACGGCCCATGTCACGTCAAGGGGCCTCCCTCCCATTTTTCTTAAAGAGACACGCTGCTTGCTCCCTCACTATCCATCCTTCGGTTCAAACAGTCTTATATTGCCATCCGGTGGTCAAAAACGGGTACTACACGCAAAACAAATCAACATTTCTTCTTAAATTTGACAATAATGACTAATTATTGTCAAATTTCAACCAATATTATCGTTTATCGCAATGATTTCTGAGACAATTAATCGCCCAGCAAAATTTGTTATCGTGACAGGCCTGTGTGTTGATGATTTTCCCAGGATGCGGTGCACCATTCAGGGGGTCACCCCCTGAAAGCAGTGCCAATCGCTGTGGCAGAAGAAGAAGGCTCAGAATCCGAGGAGGATGAGCTCAAACCCAGAGGTACGAAATGTGTTGTTTATCGTCTCAATAGCAAAACTGGCCTTAAAGGATGGAGAAAAGCTTTCGAGCGTGCCCTAACAAACTGTAACGTGTGTTTTTTTGGAGCTAGAAGCAACAACCGTTTGACTTCTACTACATCCTATATGTAAACATATGTAAGAGCGTCGCGGGGCTTTTTCTTCTTGCCTTTTAGGCTTGACAGGAATGAAGAACATTGGAAACTCCTGTTATATGAATGCTGCTCTTCAAGCTCTGTCCAACTGGTGAGTGCTCTTATCCCCTCACGTTCAACCTAATCGTGAGTGTGCGTCTTTTTTTGTTTGTTTTCTTTCTCTGTGTTGATGTGGTTTTTGTCTTCCTCAGCCCTCCGCTCACTCAGTTCTTCCTGGACTGCAGTGGACTGGTGCGCACTGATAAGAAGCCGGCTCTGTGTAAGAGCTACCAGAAACTCATCTCAGAGCTCTGGCACAAGAAACGGTATATATAGACTGTTTTCCACTTCGTTTGCTGTAAAGCTATTTTCACATCAGCCGTTCATTCTTTAACGGTGACATCTGCCCGTTCAGGCCCAGCTACGTTGTTCCGACCAGCTTGTCTCATGGCATCAAACTGGTTAACCCCATGTTTCGAGGCTATGCTCAGCAGGTAGGCGTTTATTTCTGAATCCAACTAACAAAAACACAATCGTCTTGTCTTTCTCACATTCGAGCTAAGAGGATTTCCTTTTTTTTTTTTTGTAAAACATGTCACTCTGTCTCTGGTTTATGATTGAAAACACGTCTCACACAACTCCTGAGTCGTCGGAGTATTTCTGCAGATGACAACACTCGGGAGTTTTTCTGACAGTCTGATGTGTACGAGTAAAATGTCCTGCTGCTGCCAAACATCCTCTCTGATGCCCTTTAGGATACAGAGGATAATTAACTGGGAGCAAGAAAGTTTGGAGATTTTACATCCATTTACTTATTGTCCTATATCATATGTGCAGAATGCACATAGAAATCTGACTTTGTCTAACCCTGACAAGTTCAAGCACCTGACATTAAATTAAACCGTTCTGTTTTGCTCAGACTTTGGAATTAGACTCGAGTTTGTAAAAACTCGGAACAAACTCAGTTTGATCGAGTTCAAAAGTCTTGCTTTGTGTTTGATATTTGAACAGGATTTTTTATATTTGTTTTGTCATTAATGTCTTTAGTGGGTCTGCGTTCTGCAAAATATCCTGCTGTCGCATCTTACAGAACACAAAAAGAGGACTTGGGTCAGAATCGATGTGAAATGCTTGTGTTTACACAGTTCGTCTGTGATCGTGCAGACAGAAGCTTCTGGTGTTAACGGAGTCATTCATGGTTTTTATCAACCGAAGACGGGAGAGCACAAATGTTTCTGCACGTATCCGTGCGTTCGTTTAAGATGGCCGCCTTTTAAAACCACCCATTTTAAAGATATTGAGTTGATGTGGCCGTGGCTGAGCATCGTCCCCAGCGTGCTCAGCCGTGTGCACAGACGTGGTTGGAGCTCGTTCAAATGGAGTTTGTCATGTAAGGCGGCGGGCGACATGCGTTCCCTCGAGGAATAATCCTTCAGCTTGTTTTGTTCCACCAGGACACCCAAGAGTTTCTTCGCTGTCTGATGGACCAGCTCCACGAGGAGCTGAAGGAGCCGCTGACTGAGTGCAGCATGAGCAGGGAGGGGAGCGACGCCGACGACCGGAGAGAGGGAGACCGCTCCCCGTCCGAGGACGAATTCCTTTCTTGCGACTCCGGCTCCAGCAGCGACCGAGGGGAGGGAGGAGGGGTGGGCGACGGCGAGCTGCTCCTGCAGGACGAGTGCGACGGCTTCAGGTCCCCGTCGGTGGGAGTGGTGGGCGTCGCTCCTCCGGCGGTGATCTCGGAGAAGGAGAGGCTGAAGGAGAAGAGGGCGTCCGGCTCGCCGCTGCGCTGGGGCTCGCAGGAGATGGACGAGGACGCTGATGTGGACACTGCAGCTGAGGGGGGGCCTCCTGTGAGGGGGGAGGAGGAACAGCCGTCACCAGCACTCAACTCCGAAGTCCAAAACCAGGAGAACAACCAGACGCCTGCTTCAGGGCCGGGACAAGTCCAGAGCAACACGTCAGGTTGAAGACCAGCAGGAACATTAAACATCAGGTTTACAGTCAGTTTTTAAACGGCACCTGCGATCTGCTGTTTTTACAGAACCAGACAATGAAGCGTCCATGACCCAACCTCCGTCGACTCCCTGCAGTCCTGTCCGAACTCTGCAGGAGCTGCATCCCAAACTGTCCTCCAGCCCGCCTCGCTCCAGCCCCCTCCGCTCTGCAGGGCCTGCATACTCCTTCAAAAAGGGTGAACGCTTCTTCTGCTTCTAAGAAAGCAAAACTTATTGACATTTGTTGGCTTTTTTTTTTTTTTTTTACCTCCAGTTGAGTAAATGACACTAAGATCAGTGGGAGTCAGATGTTTTTAGTCCTTTAAGTTCAACCTTTTTCGCTGTGTAGAAAGAAAGTTTAGGTAAAAGTAGAGGGGTTTTTTTTTGTTACTGTGGTGATGTAAGTTCACAACGATCATCTGTGTTCATCCAGAAATAAGTGTTCACTCTTTTGTTCTTCACTCCAAGAATGTAGAAATGTTGATTCCTGGCTCAGTCCAAGCTCAAGTACATCAGTAACTGAGATGTACAATTTATATAGTTTTATTCTGAACAATGTGACTTTGATGATTTCTTGACTTTTCCTTCAGTACTCTGATTAAGATCATGTTAATTTAAAGAAAATGTGAAAAGAGCTGCTAATTATACTCCTAAAATTGGGTTTGCCTGTTTTTATTTTAAAAACTACACTTTATTATTAAGAATAATTATATTTGGTCTAAAACAGATTCGTGTTCACTGCTGTAATAGTAAATATTAACAATTCTTTTATGATTTGAGTTTTAACATTAGATGACTACATTTGAAGATCGAGGAATAGATTATAAAATAGAAATTGAGCCTTAAAGTGATATTCTGCCCATTTTTCTTCCAGCTCAGCTGCTGCTCAGTTGCAGAAAGAAGAAGCAGTTCCACTTCCGCAGCGTGATCTCGGACATCTTCGACGGCTCCATCCTGAGTCTGGTCCAGTGTTTAACTTGTGACAGGGTGAGACGTGCTTCACATGTTTTAACGCCAGGGGGCGCTCCGCACACATCCAAACACTCATGTAGTATAATACTTTAGGACAGGGCTATTCAACTAAACTGCTCAGGGGGACACAGTTTCTGAAAGACATCAGCTCAGGGGCCGGACCGCCAGCGATTAAAGGCATTATGTAAATAAACCAAGTTTTACAAAGACCCGTTACCTTTAAATGTGTTTATTTTATTGCATTGAATTATAAATGCAACTAGAAAATTTGCATTTCCTGTGAAAATGCAGTGTGAATGCTTCTTGCTGAAGAACCTGCTGAAAAACAGCTGAAATTAGCTGAAAAGGAAGAACAAATCTAAGTTAGCAGAAGAAAGCAGAAGTGGAAATTTATTTCCCCAAAACAGCGGAATAGTAGCTAAAGAAATGTAGAAAAAAGCTTAAATTTCCTAAAGGAAACTGAGCTTAATTGTGCCCACTAATGTTGAAAGAAGCAGAAATTAGCACAGTAAAGTTGGAATTATCTGCAAAAAGATTAAATTTGCCTAAAGCAGCTGAATAGTAGCTACAACAAGTAGAAATAAGCTTAAATTACCAGAAGGAAGTAAAGTGAGCAGAAATGTGCCCACTAAGGCTGAAAGAAGCAGAAATGTGCACAAAAAATTTGAACTTGTATGAAAACAGCAGACATTTTCCCAAAACAGCTGAATAGTAGCTAAAACAAGCAAATAAAAAAGCTTGCAAGATCAGACAAGATGCGTTTGTGCTTAAAGTATGAGTTGAGGATGACTCCCAACTACTATTACATCAAACTTTAGCTTTGCATCTGTAAATATGACTAAAAGGCCCGACGTACTCCATCCGAAGTGTCGAAATCGTCTCTCATTGACAAAGTTGCGTGACAAAAATTGCGTCATTTTGTTAGCAGAGCAGCTACGCCTGCCCCTTCTTGACGTAAGATCCAGGACGTTTTTTTTTCTCACAGGCGTATGAGCCAAGTGTGTGATTGGTCAGAAATTTGTGGGCGTGGTTGTCAATGTGGAAATGTGCCCTGACATTCCTTGAAAATGTTACTTGAGAATTGTTATGATTGAACTAATTGTTTGAAAAAAAGGGGCAGATATAATAAGATTTTTTTCTTCTTTCTGCTGCCTTTCATTTTAAATCTCCTGTATTTTTTATATAGTTATGAAACTGTTTTGTATTTTTAAAATGAATAAACTTTATACCATACCATACCATGCATTCAGCTGTACAGCTCCTAAAACACACTGAATTAGCAAAATGGCCAAAAACTCCTGGATGGAGATGGTGCAGACATCGTGTATGGAGGAGTCAGTCTGGACAAGTGTGGTGCTCTCTTCTTGATAGAATTAGCTGTGGCAGCCATCTTGAATTGGTTAACACCAAACATTTATGAGTGATTCATAATAGGCCTGTCACAATAAACAATAAATCAATGAATCTCATGATAAATGAAAATTATCGACCTCGTTTTCATTTATCAGCTTTATTGTTTGTTCGTGTCGCTCTCTTTCTGAAGACACAAGATGACAAAAAGTTCAACTCCAGTGCTCTTCACTGACCCCTCCTTTTTTCTTTAAAATCCGTTTTAACCGTCCAAAATCACGTTTTTAGATCGTTAAATGCAGCTAACTGAGATGCTAAGCTACGAGCTAAGCTAACAGGCCGACCTCGAGAAAAAAAACCTCTGTCTTGTTGAAGCTCCAAAATTCACGGTTGAAACTCGTGCCTTCGTGTAAAAATTTGTTTTTCTCTGCAAAAAGAAGCTGAGAACTTGTTTACTGATATTTTATTAAAAAGCTTTGTGTGAAAAATGCTATGCTAAAGAGCTCAAACCACACGGAGCGTCCGCCATTTTGAGAACCATAAAACAGGAAGGAGAGAGCCCATGTCACGTCAAGGGGCCTCCCTCCCATTTTTCTTAGAGACACGCTGCTCACTCCCTCACTATCCATCCTTCAGTTCAAACAGTCTTATACTGCCATCTGGTGGTCATAAAAAGATACTACACTCAAAACAAATCAACCAACATCTCTTCTTAAACAGTTTTGTCGTTTATTGCAATAATTTCTGAGACAATTAATCGCCCAGCAAAGTTTGTTATTGTGACAGGCCTAATTCATAACATATTTTGCTAACTGAGAGAAGTAATGCCAACATTTATTGCCAACAATTTAGGCAAACATGTTTGGCTGTGGGTAGTGCTCGGAGCATGTGTTGGAAACGATGCTCAGCTACTACCACACCAAATTTAGCTCAGTCTCAGGCTTAGCCCTTTATGAGTTTGCTAAGGTTGCTTAGCTGTGGCGGCCATCTTGAAATGCGTTAACTCCAAATGTTAATTAATTGCAAATGAACCAGTGATTACCAATACTTAATTATTTTTTTTAAATTAAAAGTATTAGTTCAGTGCTTCGTGAGATTATTTTGCTAACACAAAAGGCAAAGAAACACAGACATGGACAAAAACAAACAGATCTATTGATCAGACATGAATGAAAACAAAACGAAAATCCACATTTTTGTACGAACATCAGCTGAAATCATTTCCTGTCATCTTACTGCCTGAACATGTCGACGTTAAAGAAATTTAAAACCTGGTTGTACTTTCGCTGCTCGATGCATGCAGTTTAATCCAGCGCTGTGTGAATGTGGGACAGGTTTCCACCACTGTAGAAACCTTCCAGGATTTATCTCTCCCCATTCCTGGGAAAGAAGACTTGGCAAAGCTGCACTCCTCCATCCACCAGAACCTGCCGGTGAAGACCGGGGTCTGTCCCGACACTTACGGCTCGCAGGGCTGGATCTCCTACATCATGGACTCCATCCGCCGGTCAGTGAACCTCATCTAGTCAGTAGACTTTACCAACATGTACATGATGACATGCTCCATATGCATCAGTCACACTTGGGAAGGGGTTCATTACGGCGTCACCTTCAAGGTGCGGGTGAGAGAAATGTGGCCGCAGGACACGGTTTTCCACAGAGAATGCAGACAAGTAGAATCTTGAGTTTTCACACTCGCGTCTTTCCTTGTAAAACGTCCACTTCATTTCTCTGGAAATCCACCACATCAGGGATTCCAGGAAAATGAACATCAACAGCAGTGAAGGTGTTTGTAAAGTTTTCAGCAGGTGAGGACACGCAGCGAGCGTCACCAAAACTTTAAAGTTAGCCCATGCATTTAAAGCCTTCTCCTTTGTTGTACCTATACAGCTTTAAAAAAAAAAATCTACTTCTCTGTGACCCCACATTCCTATTTACAGAAACTCAACATCTAAATAGCCAGTGGTCATAAAAACAAATCCATACCACCCTTATCGCTGCTGGGTGTCACGTTCCACTACAGCAGAATGACATGATTCATGATGACAGATGAGAGCCCTTCTTCATCTAGCTGTGAGGGCTGAGAGGTGTTTTTAAGGCCTGCAGGGGGATTTATCTGACAAAGACTCATCTACCATGTTTTCTGGCATATAAGTCACAGATTTGTCAGCCCTGTGGTTTATACACTGAAGCGACTTCTATACGTTTTTTTTTCTCCCATATTCATAATGCTATTTTTGACTGATGCTTTAATTTTTCGAAGAACTTCAACAGCGAGTCCTCCCGTGCACGCTCGCTTCACTCAGCTGGCGCAGGCGGAGGAACGCTGGAGAGCTAGTGGCTCCGGCCGCGATGGATGGTTGGATGGTGCCGCGCCGCCCAGGCAAAATTCCAATTCAATTCAACCTTTATTTCGACAAATAAATCACGTTGAGCCTCGAAGACTCATTTACAAGTGAGATCTGTTTAGACGGACAAAAAAAGTAATGAAACGACACGTGTAGGAATTGGAGGCAAAAAAAAAAAATCCTATCAAACTTTTTTGTTGAGAAGAAAAACCTGATATTGAAAAAAACACCTCGCACATACAAGCACATGGCGACGTAGACATTCCGCAGGCGGGGGGGAAACAACAAGTGCGGTGAGCATGTCCAAGGACGCTCTCGAGGGCGCTGTAGGAGTTCTGGTAAGGATGGAATAATCAACCAGTTCCCTCCGGTGAGATCCGTAAACATTCTTGAGGGAATGGGAATGTCGGGGAATGGTCAAAGACAACACATGTGGTAATCCAAGAGTCCTGAAATGATGACACAATGTTTATTCAGCTGGTTTCCTCAGGTTGATCAGTTGGAATTCCTCAATGGGGGGGCAGAGCGTCAGATTACACGTCCTCCAGGCGAATTCAGATGTGAGGTGGACTGCAAGGCCAGCCAAGGGAGCCATATTCAGATAAACACACGATTGTTTTGGGGACAGGCAGAACTTTAATGACATCCACCTTGAGTCTGTGTTGGTCCACTCGGTTCCTAAATGTCCAAATTACATGGCCACACCGATGGACCGTGCCTGAGAATAAACCCCGAGATCTGATCCATTCTGCCAAAAAATAAATAAATGCATAATTTAGGGGGAGTGGTGGCGCAGAGGTTAGAAGATGGGCCTGTGATTGGAAAGTCACAGGCTCAACTCCGGGTATCGTCTGAATAAAAAGTAAACGCGACGGGTCAGCGTGATGCATAATAAATGCGACTTATGCGCCGAAGCAACTTATATATGATGCTTTTTTGACTGATACGACTAATACTCTGAAGCGACTTATACGCCGGAACATATGGTAATTGGTCAAATTAGTTATTTTGGATCTCCTTTATTCTCCTGCCTGATATGGAAACTGATACCTGTAACCAGCAGGGAGCAATAAACATGCGGTTAGAATAAAATAATGCAGCTCGTCTTTGGTTGATGCTGACTGATTTACATCTTACCTGCTTTTTCTTATGTTTAGATTAAAGTACAAGAAAAGGAGATGAGGAAAGAAGTTTTAAATTGCCTTTAAAGGAAAGTGTAATAATTATCTGAGTGACTTCAGTGACTCGGCTCATTATGTTGGCAGTTTGTGATAAAAAAAACGATAGAGGCTACTGTTTGTTAAAGCGTAGGGGAGGAGATTTACTTCCTGTGCATATTTGCTTACTCGTGAAAAATATAAGCTGTGTCATCGTCTGTTTTAGCACAGAGATGTACAGGTAGCAACAAGTAGCTCCAGGTTTTAAAAAGACTTATCATATAAGTTCTTTATCGGTTCTGTAGAGAGGCGTAAATCAGTCAGTGCTGCGGATCCAGTTTGTGAAGTTTAGATGTTTCATTGTAACGTTTCATTTTTATTCCTTTCAGCAAATTCCCAGACAGGTTCATAAAATGGTTCAATGAAATTTTGAATTGAAAATAAGACTATGGTGATGAACATAAATAGACTGATACGTGAACTTTTTCTTCTTAGTTCAGTGGCTTTTTATGCTCAGCTTTCTTGAAAAGGACATTTCACATATTTTGAAGTAGGATTACGTGGAAAGGTTATATCTTAATGTTGATGACTTTTTGACCAGCCTCAAATTGAATAAACACTTTAGTTTTGACAGGATTTACGAGCTAAAGGCTAGTTTGAGACCAAATGTTCGACCAACGCTGTCAGTTTTGCATTACGCGGGTATTTACGTGGATATCTATGGTTATTTGCAAGTGCGACTGGGGATTACCCTGTAGTTTTTTTTTTTTGTTTACCAAATTAACCGTGATGCCAAAGTGACAGCGGTGTAAAAGTTTATATAACAGCATTTACAGGAACTGCTAGGAAATGTTTAAGATTAGTGTTTTAAGGCTTCGCCTGCTGATTCGTTTGGGCTAATTGATGTTAGCTCGTCAATACGGTCAGAGTAGACTCGCTTCTAAAACATATTTTGCTACTTTAAATCGATCTATAATCTTCAAAGTTTCTCAGCAGTTCATTAAAATGTTGTTTACTAAACCTTTAATTTGCCATCAGTTTTTTCACCATATGTTTTTTGGCAGAAATGGATAATTCCTGCAGGAAATGCTACAGCTCGCTGCTTCTAGTTGCTCTTAAACCATACAGCTGTATGCAAATAACTGAACTGTGTGTGTAAACAAAAAAACAAACATTTAAATCATCTTATCAATTTTTGCTGATTGGGGTCAGCAATCTACTTTGAACTCTTTTAGCAAATCACTCCTGCCAGACTTAAACTCTTTTTTCTCCAAAGTGAGGCCATTCAAAGAACTATCAGCAGGTAAGATATTGATTATTCATAACCTCTGTGGTGTTCATGGTGTGTTCGTGTTGTGTTTTTGAACAGGTTTGTCGTCTCGTGCATCCCGAGCTGGTTTTGGGGGCCCATGGTAATGCTGGAGGACTGCCTTGCTGCATTTTTTGCTGCAGATGAACTCAAAGGTAAAGATGACTCGAGTGCGCTTTAACCTGAGCTCATTATCGTGTCTGAATTTACGTTCCTGCTCTTTGCTCCAGGAGACAACATGTACAGCTGTGAGCGATGTAAAAAGTGAGTTTGGACCAGAAATGCTGAGTAAACTGAGTGTCATTCATGGTTTTTGAATTCATTTTATCATTTTGTTTGAACAGACTGCGAAATGGTGTCAAATACTGCAAAGTGCTTAAACTCCCAGAGGTAGGCTTTTTTAAAAACAAATCACATTTGTTGCTGCTTTGAGTGTTCTCAGTATTTCATGTTTCTGGTTTAGATTCTTTGCATTCACCTGAAACGTTTCCGGCACGAGGTCATGTATTCGTTCAAGATCAGCAATCACGTGTCCTTCCCTCTGGAGGGCCTTGACATGCGACCTTTCCTGGCTAAGGAGAGCCCGTCTCAAGTCACCACTTACGATCTGCTGTCGGTCATCTGCCACCACGGCACAGCAGGAAGTACGAGACAAGAGGGTTTCCTCCAGATGAGAGGAACTCTTGGTTGTTGTTTCTTTTAACGGGAACTGGGCATGCACGTTTTATCTTTTTTCTTCATAAATCTGTTCACTATTTTCTCCTGCTTTTTCTTCACCAGGTGGACATTACATAGCTTACTGTCAGAATGTGATCAATGGTCAGTGGTACGAGTTTGATGACCAGTATGTGACAGAAGTCCATGAGACTGTGGTGCAGAACGCTGAGGCCTATGTGCTGTTCTACAGGTGAGTACAGGCTCTTATCACTGTACATTCACAAGCCACAGTTTGATTTAAAAGTGTTTTTTTTTTTTTTAAAACAATCCCCACAGGAAAAGCAGCGAGGAGTCGGTCAGAGAGAGGCAGAAGGTGGTGGCTCTGGCAAACATGAAGGAGCCCAGCCTGCTGCAGTTCTACATCTCCAGAGAATGGCTGAACAAGTTCAACACTTTCGCAGAGCCGGGCCCCATCAGCAATCAAACGTTTCTTTGTCAACACGGAGGTCTGCATCAAATACGTCGTATGTCTGTGATCAGAGTCATGTCTTTGTGTATCTAAGTGAACAAACAGTACAGGAAAATCACATAAAGTTCACTCATTCTTTGATTGTTTACTATGTATAATATGTATAGTATAAGTATACTATTCAGCTTGCAGACAAAATGTCAATATTCGCTATTTAAACATAAAGTTTTAGGAGTGTTAAAGAAGCTCTAAACTGTATCAAAATGGAATACTGAAATACCATTTTTAGTATACAGTAGTCCCTCGTTTACCACTGGGGATCCGTACCCTGAAGCCCCGTGGTAGTAGTACAAGTAGTAAGTAGTAGTTTATTTTAGTATTTATATATTATGACATTTTAAACTCTTACCACACTTTTGAAATATTCCGAAAAATGTTTCTAAACTCTAAATGTTCTAAAAAAAAAGCACAGAATGTCATGATTTCAGCTCCCCGTCTCCTGCTGCACTCTTGGCCACGCCCACTTCTCCGCTGCAGAGCGGAGATCGTGACATGCTGCAGAAGGAAGTATCTCCTGCAGCAGGTGCTAAATAATTTAAAACAATTTATTTTAAATAAAAATTCCATACGAAACCGCGATAGAGCGAGTCGGCGAAAGACGAACCGCGAAGTAGCGAGGGACTACTGTGTTTTACCAGTATTCTCAGTGGTGGGCACGGTTCCACTAATCTGCTTATAGTGGAACTAACTTTCCAATTAGCTGATTAGCATTTTTACAAACTTTGAATATTTAGTTGAATTAGCTTCTGCTAAATTTAAATCCGATAAATTATTTTAAAAACAGTTCACCACACTATAGGCGTACAGGAGAACGGTGATTTACACAGAGTGATGCTAGGCAAAGCTAAGCACCACCCGGTGATGTCACCACCTTCACAGTGCCCCCCCCCCCCCATATCTACCACAACAGTCTGACTCGTGGTGTCAGTTTACAGCCAATAATAGAGATTTTAACATAAATGCCAAATCAAACTAGAACAGGAAAATAACGTGAAAAACCCATTTTCACACTCAAACATAGTAAACGGTAAGAAACATTGCTCGCATAATTCCTACCCAGCATGCCTTGCAACGCTCACACAGTCTCTGGGACGAGACTCTCTCACATTTCACACATTTTTAATACAAACAGATTTATTACCGAGAGAATATAGATGATGACACAGCAACGTTGTAGTTAGTTTATAAAAGTAGTTAACCACAAAGAGGATCACCAAAGTGAGTTGGTAAATGACACGAGGGAGACGTCCGACACACATTGAACGCATCGCTCTGTTTCAGCACAGCCGAGTTCTGCTTCACCTCTTTGGTTCTGATGGACCATATTAATTTCTGAAAGCTCACCTCTGAACAGGATATGAACGATTTACCTGTGATTTATGAACCGTTTTGAGTTGTGTTCACTTACAACATTGTCACATTACAGACAGTTACAGTGTCAGAGACAGCAGTGTGTGATAAAAGTTAACCCTTTAACCTCAGTGAAGCTAATTTTTTTGTTTGTGAATTAGCAGTTAGTGTTTCCGTCTTCTTGGTTAGCTGTGCCCACCACTACTTGTTTATCAAAAGCTAAATCAGGCTTAAAAATAATAAAATGAGATGCTTTAAAGACATTATAAACTGTAATGTATGACTGTACAGAAAATAATAACTTTTCTCTAGCAATTTGTGTATTTTCAATCTTGTAATTAAGCTATGTGGCATTAGAAGCTAAGAGATGCAGCATGTTTGTTTTAAGTATAGTTATAAGTTGCTCATTTACGTTTTCTAATGAGACAAACGTGGCTGTCATTTTTGAGAGGTTGATCGTGATTTTAGAGAAATACAGAAAAAATAGGGTTTACTTTTCATCTTGGTGAACAAAAAAAAAACTGGTACTCTGTAGGATTTCTTGACTGATCTAAATATATTTTATCTCTTCTCAGGCATCTCTCCGAATAAGTACCACTACATCGATGATCTAGTTGTGATAGTTCCTCAAAATGTGTGGGAATACCTTTACAACAGGTAAATGTCCAAAAAGGTTATGATTTAGATAAACAGTGTAATTAGCAATTTAAATAAAACGACAGCCCAAAGTCCAGTTTTGTTCTGTATCACTTTATGAACAATCATTATCTTACCTGTAGTAGATGACTCTTTGAATTACTTTTTTTGGTTCAAATATAATTACATTTTATTTAATTATTAACCTTTTGTTTAAGCAAACAAATCCCATTGAGCTCACAGATCTCTTTCAAGGGAGACCTAGTTGAAGACTCAATCTGCACTACTTCAGGTGGTTTTTAACTGGATATTGTTTTCTCTGTTCAATTTGTCTCCGTGTTCTAACAAACGTACTGCCCACACAACTAGGTGTTGATAACATTCACATAAACTACATATTAATATACAGAGAAAAAACATACTTACCTTTACTAAATCTTCTCCCCAGACTTGTTTTTTATATCCATTTGATTTCCTTTCAGTTATTAAACATTTACAGCACCATTTCTATAAAGCTCTGTATCTCCTGTCCACATGGATCTACTCTAAACAGACCTTTTAAAGATCTGTTTTCTGGAAAGCGTTTACTCTTTCTTTTTTTTCTTTCCTCACCAAAACTTTGTGTCAGGGAGGTATAAATACAGCAGAAAATCTTTGTACAAATATCTGAAGTAAGATGGGCGGGGTCTATTTCTGACCAGACTGAGTGGAGCCACAGTGCTGCCACCTCCAAACAACTCTAGTTTTCTAAATTTAGTAGCAGTTTATGGAAACATTATTTTGTCAACCTTTACACTGTTTATTTGAACTACTTGGTTATTATCCGTAGAATTGTGTAATCATTTGGAAGCTCAAGCAGCAGCTTTAGTTAGGCCTGTCGCGATAAACAATAAATCAATTAATCAATTAATCGCATGATAAATTAAAATTATCAACCTCATTTTCATTTATCGGCTTTATTGTTTCTTCATGTCTCTCTCTTTCTATTTAAGACACTGGATGACAAAAGGCTCAACTCCAGTGTTCTTCACTGACCCCTCCCTTTCTCTTTTCTCATTAAAATCCATTTTAACAGTCCAAAATTGTGTTTTAGGATCGATAAAAGCAGCTAAACTGAGAAGCTAAGCTACGAGCTAAGCTAACAGGCCGACCTCGGGAAAAATCCTCCGTCTTGTCGAGCTCCAAAAATTCACGGTTGAAACCCGTGCCTTCATGTAAAAATTTGTTTTTCTCTGCAAAACGAAGCTGAGAACTTGTTTACTAATTTTTTATTAAAAGCTTTTTGTGAAAAATGCTATGCGAAAGAGCTCAAACCACACAGCGTCCACCATGTCACCATGTCACGTCAAGGGGCCTCCCTCCCATTTTTTTTAAAGAGACACGCTGCTCCAGTGTTGCCAGGTGAGAAATGTAGGATTATCGTACTAGAGACATAAAATTATCGTATTTTGAGGGAAATCATCGTACACACGTCATAACCAAAATAACAAATCTATTTATGCACTATAGTAGTGATGGGTCCGCTTCCAGACGTTCTGCTTCTTCTTCTTTTCTTTACTCATGGGGCGGGTTCAGCGGACTATTCAGCCAATCATGGCCGTTGTTCTGAGGCAAACGCAAACACGTCACTCGTAGGTCACATTTAGAAAAGCACGATTGGCTGGAATTTCCAGCCAATCGTGCTTCTGTTTGCGGACACAGAAGCCTTCAGGGTTCACAAAAAAACTCCGACAGACAGTTGCGAGAGGCTGATGACAACCGATTACAACCACACATTCACGGAATGGTCAAATTATCGTATATTTGGCCTTTTTTGGGATTATTGATCGTACATCGTACAGAGGGCAAAATTGTCGTACAAATACGATAATTATCGTACACCTGGCAACACCGCGCTGCTCTCTCCCTCACTTTCCATCCTTCGGTTCACACAGTCTTATACTGCCATCCAGTGGCCAAGAAAGTTATTATACTCAAAACAAAATATTTCTTCTAAAATTGGACAATTACTAATTATTGTTAAATTTCAAACAATATTATCGTTTATCGCAATAATTTCTGAGACAATTAATCGCCCAGCAAAATTTGTTATTGTGGCAGGCCTTGCTGTAGTACTTCCAGCAGGAATGTCTTAATTTTTTTTTAAATACCGTATTTTTCGAACTATAAGGCGCATTAAGTGAAACAAAACAGTCAGATAAGTCAAACTTTATTCAACTCATTCACAATAACCACATAAAATGGGTTTGAGGTCAATAAGCACAACCAGGATTAATACATAAGGTGCACTGGATTTTAAGGCTCATTGTCGATTTTTGAAACAATTAAAGGATTTTAAATGCACCTTGTAATCCAAAAAATACGGCAACCATTTAATGTGAAACCTTTCATTAGGACAAAGTGCTAATTTGTCACTCTGACTTCTGATAACTTTTTGCTTTCTTGTTTTTACGCTTTCAGTTTTGGAGGCGGCCCAGCCGTCAACCACCTGTACATGTGCGCCATCTGTCAGGTGGAGATCGAAGCTCTGGCCAAACGCAGGAAAACTGAAATTGACACCTTCATCAAGGTTAACACCTGTACCCTGACAGCTTTTGTTTACTTTGGTAAGTCTACCTTTATGCTTGGTTGTTGAGCTTGTAAGACCTTTTTGTTTCTCGTCTACAGTTGAACAAAGAGTTTCAGGCTGAGGAGGCTCCCACAGTGATCCTGTGTATCAGCATGCAGTGGTTCAGAGAGTGGGAGAGCTTTGTGAAGGGCAAAGACAATGGTATGGAGAGAAACTTTAGAGCTGCACATTCAAGTGTATCCTTCTGTCTTTAAACATACTTCTCCCCCTCTCAGAGCCTCCTGGTCCTATTGACAACAGTAAAATTGGTGTGATGAAAGGAGGACACATTCAGCTGAAGCAAGGTAAACCTCTACTCGGTCAGAAAGGCGTGCAAGGAGAAATGAAGACAATCGATGAGTCGTTGAGGATATTTTTGCTGCGTTTTTTCAATTCAGGTGCAGACTACGGACAGATTTCAGAGGAGACATGGCAGTACTTGTTGGGCATATATGGAGGAGGTCCTGAGATCGCAATTAGACAGACGGTGGCCCCTGCCGACCCCGACAGTCTTCACGGAGAGAGGAAGATCGAGGCCGAGACGAGAGCACTTTGAGTTTAACAGGTTGGAATCGTTACTGCATCCTGTTCACGCACGATGATCGTTTAGAACATCGTATGTGCATTTACACAGACTTGTGTCTGAACGTTCGACTTGAAGCTTTGGGTCTCGGAACGCGAGCCAACACCAGCTACTTTTCTAGCCTCAGTCACACAAGCTCGTAAATTCCTTCAGGCCAGCAGAGAGCACGAGATCTGCACATGTGGCCAAGATTACCGGAGGCTCGTCCACAGCTGGAAATCCACTCGAGAGTCGGGGGTTTAGAATAAGTTGCTTCTTAACTTGTGTTTCTTTTGTTTTAATCCACAGGTCATGTGACTCTTTTCCACTCCTCGCAAGAAGCTGAGTGATTTGCACCTTGGTGAAGAAGCATTGTGAGCACTTTGTAACTGTAGCAGTGCATCATGTTAAAGACGGAGGACGAGGAAACGGTACTTAAACATCACATTCATGAGATAGCTCTGAAGTTCAGTGTTAGGGTGTATAAAATAAGGCTTTGTGGAGCTGTTTTTACTAGCCGTGGTGTCCGCTGTAGTAGCTAGACGTTACGTGCCGCTTCACTGGTTGTTGCAGGCAGACGGCTGCCGGCGTCACGAACCTGAACGCCGAAAATAACTTTTTCATTGAAGCAACAAATGAGACACATGAACCGGCTTTCTGTTGCCCGTCTGTTTACTAGTTACGTAGCAACGAAGCTAAGACACAAAGCGAGGGATCCCAAACAAACAAAACTTGCACTTCAACCGTAGATCGTGCACCGAGCCCTCGGGAATGAAAGTCTTCTTTTTCTGTTTGTTTTGGCCGGTGAAACGATCCTAGCAGGTTTGTTTATATGTAAACAGCATGCATGTGTGGGTTGTGCACATGTCATTTCTGAAACTGCATGCAGCTGCAAGTAAGAGCCCTGCACACACAGGCTGAACTGCTCACACTGCAAACTTAAGTGTTACGTTTAAAGTTTTTTAAATATAAAGCTGCTTTTGTATAGTTTCTGCAAGTGCTCACATCAAATTAGGCATAAGGGTATATATATATATATATATATATATATATATATAATGTGAATGTTAATATTTCATATTAGAACAAGATAAAGAGAGGAATATATGAGGTGTTAAGAGAATCTTGTGCAACAAATCATCTTAATGGGCCTTTCTGATGAGTTTTACAGAAATGTTTTTTGAGCGTCAGTGTAAACGTCTCAGGATGACAAAACGTTGTCTGTCAGCAAGAAAAAAGTTTGTATGAACAGCTTGTTGAGATAGGTCAAATTTGTTCATTCTTTTAATTGTTTGTTGAATTTGGAAATATATATATATATATATTTTTGTTTTTCAGGTGAGCCAAAAATATTTAAACTGAAAATATTTGTGCATCTGTAGATTTTTTTAAAACTTTTTAATTTCTGTAGATTTCCCCCCTCCATTTGTTGCACTGTGTCCTCATACCTCCCTCTTTTGTTTGAAATTGGTTATGTAATGACAGTGGAATTGTTTTTTTGTTTTTTTTTGTCAGCATCCAGTTTTCTAATTATTTAAACTTGACAAGTCACTTTGTTCATCTCTTACAGTCTAATGAATAGGACTGCTTGTTGATGTCCAAACAGGGTTAGTCGCGGTGAACACGAAGCCAAAGCTGCTGGATCCAGTCAAAATTTCCTTGGCTGGATTCTTTCTTTCTCTGATATATTTCTTTCAAAGATGCACTGTGGGTTTTTTTATACTTCGGCACAAGCTTTCACCCATGACCGGGGTTTCCTGCCACTTCAAGCTGCAGAATTTGGCATCTCGAAAGGCTTTTTTCTGGAACTACGGCTTTTCCAAATATCTTTTCACTTAGTGTGACAATATATTTTTTCCTTCTATGTTTATTCTTTTTTGTTGTTCCAGCCTGTGAACGCTGAAATAAAGACCCAACATAAAGTGTGGATTTGCAGATCCTGAATAACTGGCATTGATCCTTGTTTAGGGATGCACAATATTGGATTTTTGGCCGATACGTTAAAACTTATTTGGCTAATATCCGATACCAATACCGATATTTTTTCATCCTAGACCTACTTACAGAGACTACATAGACTTTCTCTGCAGTGGAATTAAAATACTACATTATTGTGCATGGTCTTGGTCAATTGGACCTGCTACCAAATGTAGATGCCAAAAAGGGGACTAAAAATGATGCAACACTTCAACTTGGATTATGTTTAATGTTAAATTTATTCATGACATTTACTCTTTAACACAATAACAACACTCGAACAGTGCAAGTTTGTATATTTGCACAAATCTAAACCTGTTCACAAGTGACAAGTATCCTTGTTGCCTTTGAGCTTTGTGTGCACACCCACAATATTTTGTGACTGATGGAGTACTTTGCTTCATTTTAATCTTTCCCTGATGTTTAAATTCACTTTGACTTTATAAATGTTTGTTCTGCTGAATATCACAAACTGACCGCTCTAAATAATCTGAAAATTAACGTTCAAAACTAAACCTCAAGGAAGAATAACGTTGAGTTAAATTATGTTAACTGATAAAAACAACTATATATATGAATAAAGATATTCACATTTAAGTTGTTTTTTTATGTTTTTGGTGATTTGGAGGTATTCTGTACAAAGGTGCAACGTGCAGCTGAACTGTAAAGTTTTGGTTTTTGAGGTCCCAGATGTAGAGACATTGGCAAGAAAATGTTCCATTCTGGAAAAACAAGTATCAGTACTTAAAACAAAAGTAACAAATGATATTTTTGACTCTTCTTCTCTTTTTGGAGAAAAAAATCAGACTGATTATATTGTCAGTATTTACTGTTTTGGACTTCAGGACCTATAAAAAAAAACATTCTGCAATTTTTGTGGCACTTTCAGATTAGTACATCAAAAACTGAACTACATGCATTTACGACAGTGTGGGACCAAAACAAATCAAACTAAAATACAAATCGTGATAATTAAATTGCACTTGTAAAATGTCACAACGGTTGCCTTTCTCGTCAGCATTTTTGGGTCCGACTCGTTGGCGTTTTTTGTTTTTTAAGCTCATCAGTCTAAAAAAAGAAAGCCCTTTACTTTTTGTTGCACTAGATTCTCTTTTCACATTTCCAGACTTCATCTACGGAGATGATAATTCAGAGATGCATTTTGGGGAGATGCGGGGGACAAGTGCAATCACGTCTTTGTGCAATCTTAGTTGTATATCGAAGAGATACCAGACGAGTATAAAACCATTTGAACTGAAGCAGCCGGCTGTAGTGCAGTATTAAGGAAACCCTCAGTGGTAATTGCTTCACTGGCCCCACCCTGTCAGTACGTATGTTCATGTTACAGCACGTATATGCGTGACATTTCCACTTAACTGGAAAATGCAAGCATTGCTGTGGTAAAACCGTTAATTACAAATATTGCAGCGCACAAAAGGATTTCAGTGACTCATGGTATTTTACAGTGCGTGGCTCTCGTAATGCTTGGAGCTGTGATGGACCACAGTTCAACGGGATGTCTTAATGTCTGTAACTGATGTAACTTCTCATGACTGGTTTGATTATTAAAATTCCTTGCTCATGACTGTGAATTTTTTTGTTTGTTTATATATATGTATATCTGGAGGCAGGCAATATTAAAAAGGTTTAGGGACAGAAGTTATAATCATTTTTTTCATAGTTGCCCCGAACACAACAAATCAAAACATGAACCAAAAGACATGGTATTCAACAAAAATTACTCTAGACATCCCAAAACTTAATTTTTCACAACTCGCCGTTCTATTAATTTTTTTCGGTACCACTTTATAATAAGGCTCCCCTTTTAGATGGCTAATAAATAGTTTACAGGTAAGTCATTAATCCCTGTATTAACACTTTATAAATCATTAGTAACTGCTTATTATGTATTAATTAAGGGTTACTGAGACAAAACTGACCCGTTTCTTGCCAAACAGTGAGCCAAATCTGCCACCTATATATTTCATATAGAGTTGTTATATTAAACATTTCAGACTAAGTTACTACCTTGTAAGCACAATAAACATTTGTAAACCTGTTTCTTTAGCATAACGTATTGTACGTTATCAGTTTCATTATTTGTCATAAGCAACACGTGGTGGAACGAAATTGTGTACACAGGGTCCCAGTTACATCCAATCACTTATCATTTATCACTGCAGTATAAGTATCTACAACTAATATCCTAAAAAAAAAAAGCTTTACAAATGCTTGTTGTGCTTACAAGGTAGTAACTAAATCTGAAATGTTTACTATAACAACTCTAGATTAAATATATAGGTGAACAGATTTAGCTCACTATTTGGCAAGAAACTGGCCAGTTTTGTCTGTCACTGTTAATTAATGCATAATAAACAATGATTTATAAAGTGTTTATAGAGGAAATAACATATCTAAACTATTTATTAGCCATCGATAAGTGGAGCCTTATTGTAACGTGGTACCATTTTTCTCTAATGTGTGGCTTTGTAGTTTGAAATCTGTTTAATTTATTGTCACAATTTATTTGATACAGTTGTCTTTACGGTTGTGTTTTGCCTAACTCATCAGTTATCTATTGATTTGAGACTTGACAGCTGACCAGATTTACCACAGTTTGCCCTGACAGGTTTTTAGAAGTGGGGTTCAATTGAAAGTGCTGAACAGTTATCATCTTACCTGTTCCAACAAGCTCTGCTAGTCTGAGTAAGCCCAAAGTGGATTGCCGCCATCTTAAAACACCAGCTCTAAATATTTCTCTTGTTCATGCGAACATTATTTTTATAAGCCTTTCGACCACCATCAATGTTGCACAATTATTTTAGCAGAAATGTAGAATTTGTTAACAAAATTCTCAAGGATTTGCCAGATGTGCTACAACTTCCTACTATTTTTACACTTGCAAATAGACATAAGATTTTATGTTAACTATGTTAATGCCATGTTAGGGTCTGGTAAAAGTAAAACATACAGTAGTCCCTCGCTACTTCGCGGTTCGTTTTTCGCCGACCCGCTTTATCGCGGTTTTTCAAAGTAAAATTGGACATGACACATAGTTGTGTGTTTGAGGGATGAGCTGCACCATCGGCATTGATTTTTATTTAAAATGAATTATTTAAACTTATTTAACACGTGCTGCACCTTTGTGCAGCCCACACTGCAGGAGAAGCTTGTGTCATATCTGGGCTCTGCAGCAGAGAAGTGGGCGTGGCCAAGAGCACTGGCATGTGGCGGAGTTCAGCCAGAGAGAACTGAAATCATGACATTCTGTGCTCTTTTAGAGCGTTTAGAGTTTAAAATCATTGCTTAGGATATTGCAAGGGTGTGGGAAGGATTTAATACTTCTTTAAAAATATATAATACTAAAATAAACTACTACTTACTTGTACTACTATTCCTACTTTGTGGTTTTTCATTTATCACGGGGCTTCAGGGTACGTATCCCCTGCGATAAACTAGGGACTACTAAATCTTGTTTAAGAGAGCAGACATCCAGTTCAGTTTTATGCCTGTTCAAATTGACCTTTACTTTATTAATCTGGACAGATTAAACTTTATTTCTTCAAACTGAGGCCATTCAAAGAGCCACCTACAACAGGTAAGATATTTGTTTAAACCCTTCCTTTACAGTATCCCACTTTTTTTTAAAGTCTGAACTTTTATTTAATGTTTGCTTACGTTGTAACCCTAGGAAATGGATAATTAGACTTTATTTGAACTATTATTTAAATTCTTAGTGAGTCAGGTGAGCTCAGTTCTCTCAGACTGGTCCACTAAATACACACCCTTTACAAAACGGCTGCAAGGAGGGAATACACGTTTATTGTTCAGGAAGATGAGAATGAAATACAAAGTAAACGGGAATAAAAGAAACCTCTTAACTACATCTGTCTTATACTTATAAAGCCCGTTAAGATGGTCAACCAAAAATACATACAACCCTTGTATTTAATAAATGTGGCCAACTTTAAATTTAGATAAAGTCCCTTATTCCTGTCTCTAAAACACTGGCAGCAGTTCATTTTAAAAGCTTATGTCATGAAGGACTAAGTCAGGTTTGCAAATACGGCCTTTTGACAAAGCTTGTATCAAAACGTCGGTGTTCAGCCAC